ATCCACCCAGGGTTAACTTAGAGCAGGATCCAATATTTTTAAAGTGCTCTATCTGCCATGACAGTCTGTTCAGTTACAGCTGTAGAGCACTTTCTGTGTGCTTATCCTGCGATAAGTGTAATGTCTGTACTTAGCCTTTGATACTATCAGAGGTCAGTCAAAATGGGGCTCCCCTTCCTTTTGACTCTCCCCTTTTTATCTTCCTTCTCCTACTGGCTCTACTCTCTCTATTGATTATTTCACCCTTTTCTGGCCCTCAATCCCAAAAAACTGTGTGTCCTATTTTAGGCCTTGCAAACACTTCCTATATTTGAACAGTGAGAACAATTCCACCAAAATCCATGGGTGTACTCAGTGTTAAAGTTAAGTATATATGTAAACCTTTGTAGGATCAAGCCTTTTGTAGCTTCTACTCTTTTTTTATACTTATAGAATATCGCACTGGACAAGCCAGTGGAAAGATAAAATAGGAATAAAAAAACAAGTGGCCTTAGGGGATATATAAAGTCATATAACAGGTCTTTTATAGCTCTGACTGATAGAGTATCTACAGTTAAGTAAATCAGCAGGATATTTTTGTGATAATGCAGTTCTGAAGTAGCTAATATTGACCTTTAACTTATCATTAGGTTTCATCATTATGATAGATGAGACCAGTTCATAACTCTCACAGGTATTTATTAATGTAACCTATATGCAGACAAAGGGAGAAAATCATGAGTGACTAAAATCCAGAATATTTTTCGGTGTAGGTTATCTTTGTAGCCCTAAGACATATCCCATGTATTTTGTATGATTATGTGGGTCCTGAATTTAAAAGAGAATTTATAGATGCAACAGAATTTAGTGCCAGAATGTTCATGTTCAGCTTCCATTTAAAAAAGGATGTTATTAGATTTAGCAAGCCTGCCCCACTTCTTTGACTTGTATAGTGATAAAAGTCTACTACATAAGCAGTTTAACTAACTAGCTAGTTTCTTGTTCTTTTTTTCTTTTCTATTTTTTTTTTTTTTTTGGTCAGAGTGCAAAGCAATCACAGTACACTGAGAAATCTCTAGTCTTAAAAATTTCTAACATTTTGGACTATAAGAGCTGTAAACTGCCAAATATAAGCCAGATGTAAGCTGATGTACTGTCTTCTGCCTGAGTCTATACACATACTCTAGGAAACAAGCATTCTGAGACGTATGAACTCAGTCATCACGAGGAAATGCCAATTCTCAACAATATGGTTTGTGGGTATTTGTTACATGTTTTCTAAGATGTATTATGCACATATTTACCAAAGAATACATATTTCATTTTGCAAAATTGTTCAATTTTGATTGTAGTAAGGAAGAGCTACTATTATGTAAAATATATTTAAATACAACCTATTGCATGAAAAACACATTAATGGCATGCCATATATTTTATGTATCTTCCTGACAAATATATATTCACTACTGGTCCTATAAAATGCAACAAGTAGCTTATTTTATTTCTTTGACAGATGCCTGCCAAAAAGGACTTCAATTTTTTTTTTTTTTGACTCAGGAATGCAGGATTGGTCTTGGACTGATCTGAATTCCATTACCTTTTGCACTATGTGCTGAATGTCTTACAAAACTAAGAGGGGCTGGCAGTACAGTAACAACTGAAACTCACCTTTTGGTTTGTTTTAAGTGGCACAACCTCCAGCCCCACTCAGATTTCCTGCTTCTGCTCCAGTATGACACCCCAGCATATGCCTAGTGATGTCACATCAACCATGGAATCCCGCAGAAGCATGGAGCCAACCTACGGGTGGAGAGGGGTTGATGTAAATTCAGGCTTTTATTGAATTTATTAATTACTCAGCTACTTGGCATGGCTTTGCAAATCTACTTTCAAAACATCATGTTATATCCCAAAAGGATTTAAATTATAATAGAAGCACCCTATAGTCATGCTCCATGTTCCAACATAATTTGTGGTACAACTTGGCTGTTGTCACAACAGAGCAGGAGACAACAACAGTATAGGTCACAGTAAGACCTGAAAAAAGAGGAAGATTGAAATATCCTTACTCATTGATTATTGACTGTCTTACAAAAGAATCCGCCTAAAAAAATGGGAGTTTTAGAAAAGATTCGCTCATTATGAGTAAGGTATCTCAAATCTGGACTGAGGAGAGGTGTGATTTCAATTGATGTACTGAATGCCCCTTTAACCATTCAGCATATATTGCTAAAGATGATGAAATGTTGTGAATCTCATAATTGATTACAAGCCCTACTGTACAAGAATGGACAAATAGGAGAATGTCTAAGTGTTTAATGGTTCCAGTTCCTTAGGGTGCACTATTTTCATGTGATTCAAGATGTTATGAAGAGAAACAACTATTGGGGTACAAAAAGATATCATCTTTGTGGAGGGATTGGCTTTGCCAGGATGTGTCCTGGCACAGCTGATTTGATAGATGAGCAGACAGATGTTGCTTGGGGCTGTTGTCCTACAGAGAACACCTCCTTGGGGCAGTTGAAAAGCACAGGCAGCTCCAGGCTGCCCACTCTCTCATGACATAAACAAACAGACATCCATTGTGAAAAGGCATGATAAACTATTACTAGGAATTGAAGCACCCACACTTTTGGGCCCTTATGGAGCAACAAGTGGCAAGGGCATCTGTTCACTTAGGTTTTATGGCAGCACAAGAAAAACATCTGCATGCTTAGATATCTAAACATATACAAGTTTCCATCAATTTATGCAGTACATGCGTTCCCGGAGAACGGCACATAAATCAAATTCACATAAAGTGAACCCACTGTCCCCACTCACCTCTGCTCCTGGGCTGCACTGTGCCCTGGTACAGGCAGCTGGTGTTGGTTGCTCCTGGGGCTGCATAGCCAGGGCTGGGGTGAGTGCCGTGCCCTGCACTGCCCAGGGCTCCGCTTGCCCGCACTCACCCCAGCCCATGCTGGAGTGGCCCTAGAAGCAGCCAACACCATCTGCCTGCACCAGGGCACAGTGCAGCCCAGGAGTAGAGGTAAGTGGGAACAAATGGAGCCCAAGCATGGGGGGACTGGCAGAGAACAGTGCAGCCCAGAGGCTGCAGGCAGCTGGCACCAGCTGTTCCCAGAGCCACTGCAGCTGGGGCTGGGATGAGTGGGGCCATGGCCCTTTTCTCTCCCCCCAGACATACCTGCTTGGGCACAGGGGGGAGGGGGGGGAAAGGGCATCTATACTGATCACGTAAGAGCAAATTTACCTTGCATATAATGAATTATGGGTCTACATATCATTGCATAAGAGTAAATTCGCATATAAATAACCTGCATAAATAGAGAGAAACCTGTATTGCCAAAATTAGTGATAACATAAGGATGTATTTATATCATGGTTGGACTGCAATCACACAGTATAATAAAAAATGATGGATATTTACACAGGTCATTTTGCCCAGAGATCCCATAAATTTCAACAAACTGGTGAAAAAGCACAATAAATACTTAAGCCACTACAGAAATTTACCCATATGGATAAAGAACACAAAGGAACTCACATCCAGCAGATCAGGGTAGAAAGCAAAGAATTACATCGATCCATTTGAAACTAAATAAAGGTTTTCATTACGCAGAATATATTGACCCAAGTTATAATTTGGCCAGGAAGTTAAGGTCACAATATTTTAAATAATCTCACACACACGGCATAAAATCTAGAAAAACCCAGTATAACAACAATTGTCCTTAACCTCCACAGAAGCATAACAGAGATCAGGATGATCGCATCCTAAACACCAAGGAGACATGGGTTCTGGACCCTACTCCCAGCCTGTGCTCACTAGACTTTTGTGCCTTTTATCCAAAGACCATTCAATGAAAAATGAAAAAATAAAATAAAATAACTGAAACCAAGAGCTGCAACTCAAGTCTTTGTCTGTCCCAGGCCAGTGCCCTCCTCACCAGACTACAAATCTTCTGGCCTCATACCTCCCCCTCATGGCTGCTAACTGGGTCAGCTTCAGCAGAAGACGGAGAGTGTTCTTGGCCCTGGCTTGTCCATGGCCTGGCAGTTAAGGCACTTTTCTGGGTAGTGGGAAAACCCCACCTTGCTAAAAAAGGTTTGGAAGGTTCCCATCCCAAGTGCCTTAACCACTAAGCTATTAGGTGAGTGGGCACTCTTCCTAGGTTATTTAGATGGCTCCCCTGATAAGTCATTTTGAGCTTTCACTCAGTGTGAGTTGGATCCATATGTGATGCCGCTGAATAGGGGTTCCCGGCTGAAAGAACAAGAGAGGCATTTGTGTTTTTTTTCTGGGTGGATTATAAGTATTGAAGGCTGCTTCTTTTCAAAACAGAATTGCTATGCATCGATGAAGGTGTATTTGGGTTGGTCTCTGATAGTGGAGGAGACTGCCCCCAGTGCATCTTCCTAAATGGATTTGGGTTACAGTCTGAGGCAGGATATGCAGTTTCTGTGGTACCTTATGCACAAAGACTTCAAGGTAGATTGAGACTGGGACTCAAGAATGTACTTTGTAGCAATTACATTTTCTTTTCAGGTCATGCAAACACTAACCAAATCTGACCTTCTACTGATTTCTTCTAGTGAAATCTAACAAGATCAGAGTTCAAATAGTGATGCTGAAGGTCAGTACAGCAGTACCTGATACAATACTAGCAGCCAAACATAACACTGGCATTAGAAAAACAATCAGTTACATTCTGCAGGAATTGATTTCTAGCTGAGTTAGAAATTGCTATCAGGAGCCTACTCCACCTACCTTATAAATCTTTGGTAGTTGTCTCATACTGTGCATGTGGCTATATCTTTTTTGTTGTTGTTGCAATTATGTGGGTAATGACATAAAGCTACAATGCCACTGCTTAAAAGAAAACAGTGAAGTGTTATCCAACATCCAGAATATTATTTCTTTTTCTAATACATACTAATAAACTAAACAAAACACTAATGCAGATTTGACAGAACAATTATATTGATAAATGATTATTATTAGGCTTGAATGTGCTTACCATGGTGATCCTGGAACAGGAGTAGATGCCACAGGCTTGTTGCCATTGGATGTTCTGTCATCTTCATTTACTAGTTTTAAAGAATGATCCTTGACATAGAAATAGACAAAGATTAGTCAGCAATTGAAACTGATACCCAAGAGTGCCAATAAAATACAAATGACTTCATTTTAACTGGAAGTGGATTAGACAAATCTTGGTTGTTCCATTTGGTTGAATGTGACCAACCGTCTACATCTAAGCCAGCTAGGGTAAACTGAAAAAGAACATAACCACTGCCTTGTTTAGAATATTGCATATAGAAAACTGGAGACGTAAAGATGTGTTTGTAAGTAGCATTGATAATGGTGCATTTGGGATTCTTCATACAATTTTGTCCATGTTACCATATTATCAGAAAAAAAATATGGGCTGTGAGACTTGAAAAGTTCATAATCAGGGAGGGATATAGCATCTGAAAAGTCACCTAAATACAAGGCAACCTAAGTTAAATGCAGACCCAAAGCAAACTTGTACATACAGAAAAGCATGAGGAAAAAGTAGAATGGATAATGTTGCTTGAGTGTTACGTCGACTACAAAACACTTCTGCAAGTACTGGAAATGAAAAGTCTGTAGGAGGCAACCTGAATGATATGTTGCTGAAAGTGCTTGCAGTAAGGACTGCATGCAGTGAGGTGGATGGTGCTTTGCATAAGTTAATAATGGTTCTGTCACTCTTAGATGCTTAAATGTAGGCAATTTCACATTACTCTGCAAATGAATGATAGTCAAAACTGTCTCTTCTCTAGCTTCCATCAGCTATGTTACCTACTCTGAAACCATGTATATGCATTGGTGTGTGTGTGTGTGCGCGCACGCGTGTGCATGCATATTTGATAATGTTTTTGATGCTACCAAACCTTGCACTGATGTATTTTTGATTTATTTGGAAATACAGCTCATTCACAAATAGGCAAATTCATAAACATCCCTTTATCTGGTACTCTAGAATCTACAGTTAGCAAGTGTTTAAACAGATAAGAAAAGCAATTTATCTTCCCCTTTCACTCATAATTTTCCTTCTGAGGATATTTCCTAAATCTCCAACTATGGATTATTATAAAGCTCTGTTCATCCACCTCATCTCAGCAGCCATCCAACTGATAGCCATAGCATGGAAATGGGTAATCTTGCCAAATAAGGGAGAATGGACAGAGAGAATATGGCACATATTCACCATGGAAAAGGTATGGATTTTTACTCCACCTCTTTGCCATACTATAAATATCTAATGCAAGAGGGTCATAAAAGAAAAGCATCACAGTTATACAGCAATGTGGAGATACAAGTCTATTAAAAATGAAAAGACAGCATGAGACATAGTCCCGCCCTGCTTCTGAGTAAAACCTAATAGATAGCTGAGGTTGAGGGAAGTAACTGAAACATTTATATAGATAATAACAGTTTTCACTCCCAAATGTGTTACAACATTCTTTATATATGTGTTTTTGATATAGTTATATGGTTGTGTTTATAAAAATAAAGGAAAAAAGGAAAATCAATTTATATTAGTAACTTAAAGAAATGAATGGAAAAGAGGCAGGAGGGATAATAATAGCTGAACACAGCATTAATGCTTGAAAGAAAATCATATGATTAAAAAATAATAAGCAAGTACACAAAGCTGGTCATCTTCCAAGTATTTTACAAATGCTAAGCACTCAGTAATACTTTTGATACCTAGTGCATCCCTAGAGATAGAGGCAGATGCAGTGCCTGAGTGATGAATGACTGAAACATTATGGCTGCATAAAGTATAATGATGCCAAAGGTGCTGGAAAGTATGGAAGGGGCAGACAAGCAAATAAAAATAAGAATGGAACAGTAATGTCTGCTATACCTTTACACAACGCTTAGGGTGCTCTCCCTGTAGTTGTGGTGTAAACCTGTGTGTGCATGGGAGGCAGCAGACTGGGTGCTCTACCCATGGCTGTGGTATAAACAGCACACTGGCCACACATGCCACATTTGGGAAGTGCAGTGTATGCAGATGGCAATGTATTGCATGGCATGCTGCCATAGCAGTACCTGGAATAGCACTGTCTTCTACTCAAAGGGGACAAGCATATCAACAAACTGGCATGTTAAAAGTGCTCTTTTATACTAACTCATAGATACTAATAATTTGGCATTACCTATTATTAATTGTTAATTTTTTTAAGATCTGCATCAGGAAAGCAAGTTTTTCTATTAACTTGAAGGGAACTAGGTTCAGGTTCTTTATCTTTTAGAAGACAGTAATGAAAAAGATATGTATAAAAAGATGTTTCTGGGTTTTTGGTTGTGGCCGTGTTGGTCTAAGGAGATACTCCCTATGCCTGAAGAAGGGTGATTGCACCCGAAGGCTTGCAAAGAACTTTTTTCCAACTACTCAGTTGGTCTAATAAAAGATATCACATCTACCCAAAGAACCTTGCCCGTATTAAAAGACTGTACCTATGCTAATAATAATGCATGTATATAATGTTTAAGTATGTATATGGATCTATGAAACACATAAAGAAAACATTTGTAATCCATTCATGTCAAATTCATATCTATATTTAAGAACTGTGTGCATGATCTTAAGAAGGAATTAACAGTACATTCATTGAGTACACATAAGATTGCAAATGGGAACACTGCAATGGCAATAAAGTGGGACACTAGTAATAAGACCAGGCTCTTATCTCTAGGGGCTTCTGGAGAAGCTCTGCACAAACATCTGGAATTTGGGAATCTATAGATATTTGATGGTGGTGCTTTGGGGATCCTGATTTTCTAAACCATTTAAACTGCCATAATAAAAGACAAAAAAAAATCCGAGCTCTATCAAAGTGAAGGCTTCATGTCTCTGACTATTCCTGACTTGAAACAAAGGAGAGAAGGAAAGAAGAAGGAAGGAAGTCAGGAAGCCTCCTACAAGACATAAGAATATCCATGGAAATAAACAATTTCTGAATTATGGGCTACTTGTTTCTTCAGTTGTCCATTGGTTGAATTTCAAACACAGATGCAAAACAGTTTCCACTCATTCTCTTCATTCTTTCCCTCCCCCTCCCCCTTTTTTACATACAAGCAGATAACAAAATCTGATCAGGAAGAAAGAAAGATGTAGATTGTCTTTTCTGTTACTAAAATAATTAGGAGGCCCACAAATACTACAGCACTGAAGGCTGCATAAGATACCCAGGCAGAGAGTTTTGATAGACTGCTCATAAAACACAAAGTATATGGAATAATCCTGTATCAAGAGGAAAAGTTTCAGATCACGCAATAGGCCTTTGCTCACTCTCTAGTTTCTGGTATTCAATATTATTATAATGCCTTTTAAAAGAGAACAAAATCTATAATAAGAAACAGACCTTATTGTCATCATTCTCTGTAGGTTTAGTTTTCCTGTCACTGTGTAAAATCAAGGTCCGTGGACAGGAGGCTCTCTTTGATTCTTTGCCATTATCTGTAAAGGAAAAATAATTTTAAAATTCATAATAAATGTACTATCAGTGACCCCTTGAGGTGTCTTGAGGACTTATACCCCTTAGAGAATAAACTCCCTGGTTAGACAAAATGTTACATTATTAATAATGAGCAAATGTGCTGTTTGGTAGAACTGATCTGTCAAATCTTCAGAGCCAAACTGCCTTAACATTTTTTTTGCTTGTGGCACTAAGCTAACAGGTTCTGAAGGCACTGCTTGTGTCATCTAAGAGAACGTGGAGGCCTGGGGTGAAATTACAATCTAAGTTAGGGACAGAACTATAAACCTGCAGTGATGGAAACAAAGCAACTTTATAAGTATTTATGGACTGCCATTGTGCTATGTGCTGATAAACTCCTACCTTAGAATGTCAACCAGGTCAGGAAACAATGGGATGAGGTAAAACAAAAGAAAACGACATGAAGATCAAAATATCCTCCCCCCCCACCCCCCGGCTGAAACTCTACTGTTTCTTTCTCACTCAATGCTTTATTGAAAGAAGGTCTCCCTCTTGCTCTCATTGATACCAATGATAAAACTCTTCTTGACCTTTTTAGGAACACAGATTTCATAGATTTTCAGGGTTGGAAGGGACCTCAGCAGATCATTGAGTCCAACGTCCTGCCCTGGGCAGGAAAGAACGCTGAGGTCAGACAACCCCAGCCAGGTGTTTGTCCAGTCTCTTCTTAAAGACCCCCAAGGTAGGGGAGAGCACCACCGCCCTTGGAAGCCCATTCCAGATTCTGGTAACTTGTACTGTAAAGAAGTTCTTCTTAATGTTTAGTATAAATCTGCTCTCTGTCAGTTTATGGCCATTGTTTCTAGTTACTCCAAGAGGTGCCCTGGTAAACAGAGCATCTCCTATTCCTTTGCTGTGCCCCCCACCCCCCTTGGTCAAATTCATAGACAGCCACCAAATCCCCTCTCAGCATTCTCTTATGGAGGCTAAAGAGATCTAGGTCCTTCGACCTCTCCTCATAGGACCTATCCTGCAGGCCTCTAATCTTATGAGTGGCCGTCCTCTGGACCCTCTCAAGGTTATCCACATTCCTCTTGAAGTGCGACGCACAAAACTGAACACAGTACTCCAACTGATGCCTTACCAGTGCTGCATAGAGGGGAAGTATCATGTCCCTAGACCTGTATGTGATGCATCTGTTAATGCATGATAGATCACTTCGTTGCATTGCAGATTCATATTAATCTTTGAGTCAACTATGATTCCAAGATCCCTTTGTGCTGCTGTGCTGCTTAGCATGTCCTCCCCCAATCTGTATGTGTACTGATAACTCCTTCTCCCTAGGTGCAGTACTCTGCTCTTATCCTTGTTAAACTGCATCCTATTTTGTTCTGCCCACTTTCCAGCTTGTTCAAATCTGCCTGTATCTGCTCCCTGAGCAGATCATATATATGTTCTTAACTGTTCAGAGCTCCTCTGAAACAGCAGTCTACAAAGTTATTGGGTTTGCTGAAATATGAAGTCTACGTATACTGAAAATGTCTTAGGCAAATACTTAGGCAAACACTTACAGGACTGATAATAGCTGTAAATCTGAGGAAGGCAGAGGAAATGGGCATTCAGTTAAACAGTTATTTGAAAGTGGTCCCTTGAAACAGGAGGCTCAAAATTAGGTAATCTCACATACCGTAGATTTCAGCCTTTTTACTGCCTAGTATCTTACATAATCAAAATTTGCACAGGTGTAAATCAATTTACACCTGTGTAAAAAAATTCCTTATTCAAAGTAAAATGCTACTTTGTATAGGAAATGACAGAAGACATCAAAGAAAGCCATGCTCCTTTATGTATATTTCATGATATGGCAGGGTTCTTTTCTCATTTCCCCTTAATTTAACCAAATTTGGTTAACACTTTTTCACAGGTCAGAAGAGGTTATGATCACAAACTACCATATTTACTAAAATCCAAGACAAGGTTTTTCCTCCCAAGCAATATTAAGTACTGTCCTGGGGAAGGTAACTGCTCAGCTCTGGCTTGGCCCTGGGCTTGAAGATGATGCAGGAGCTGAACTGCTGCCTTCCCTAAGCCAGGGTGGGTTGTATGGAAGGGGAGAGGGCACATGGCCAGGGGACTGTGGGGAAGACTGCATGGTGAGGGAGGGTATGCAGGGAAGACTTACCTGTGTAGCTTGGGGAGAGTGTAGGGGAGACCTGCCCCTCTCCAGTGTGCTTCTCCCTTATGCCCCTCTCCAGCATGTTTCCCTGCACCCCACCCAGCTTACCGTCTGCTCCAGCTGTCCCCTCCAGCCCCAGACCAGTCATCACTTTTGTCTAGATGAGCAGGGCAGCATCAGGCAGGGGCTGCCACTGTGGACTGCTCTGGAGGTGGAGCAGAGCAGCAGAAGGTAAGTGATGGGACAGATGCAGGGGGTGGAGTGGCAGATATGGTGGGGGGCAGGACAGTTGGCAGGGATCAGGCACACGGGGGGGTAAAGGGCAGGGGGATAGGCAGCACATGGGAGCAGGGGGTAAGGAGGTAGGCACATGCATGGGTGGGCTAGAGGCATGGGATTCAGGTGGCAGGGGACAAGGGGAAAGATAAGTAGCAGGGGAGGACAGGGTCAAATATGGCCAGGGAGTCCAATCTAAGGGGCAGAGGTCTGGCCTCTTGCCCCCTACCACTTCTTTCCTCACTGTAGCAGTGAGAGAAGGGAATGAAGATGACCTTCCATGACTTAGATTCTATCCATGGAAAACTGTAACAAATTTATACATTTCCATGGATAGAATCTAATTATCAGGGGCTGGGTCCACCTTAAATCCGAAGGTATCTTGGATTCAGATAAATATGGTATGTGGAGCATAAAAAGAAGAAATTATATGCTTTATGATATTCCAAAGCTTGGACTACATGATTTAAGGGGACTTCTGGACTTAAAGGTCTATGAATCTATGTAATGGGCCCCATACTATTAAGTTTAGATTTAATTTCAAACTCTGCAAAGCTCAGGGATATTTATCTATACATTTTCTCTGCTGAGCAATTTCCAATCAAACATCATGGTAATAACATGTCAAGCAAAAATTTCTGCAGTAGACTATATACTGACAAGTGTTACTTTATTTCCCTAGCATACATATCTGAAATTTTTGATCAAAGCAGAACAATTTGTTAAAATGGAACTGGAATGATTCAGAAATGTGTCTTCTTGCAAAAGTACACTATGGTGCCATAGCTATGTGCAGTAGAAATGATGGTCTACAATCTATACCTGCAACACGTACTTTTTATATTTACTAATTAAACTATTAATGGATCTAGTAATGAAGCTTTTCTTACTCTCTCAGGTCCTTACTCCCATACATATACATATACATATTAAAGATATATTACTGGTTTGAAACCAAAACAGTGATCAAGGTAAATAAATGGTTAAACAGCTGCTCCTTCCTTGGATTACTCAAAGGTGAAAGAAGAATTGGTGATGGGATTATTGGGAATTTACCTAATCTGAAAGAATAAAACAAACAAAACAAAACGAAACAAAAAAAAACCCCCAGCTTCATATTCATTAGGCATCTGTATTCTATTTTTTCTTGTTTATTGCTGTATTTCTATAATTAGAAGCCCTTTAGCCCCCCTCTAGTCATTCCCTATGATTCATTAATCAAAAAGTAACTCTATTTTTCATGTAAGAATTATTTCATGACAAGGGCATCAGAATTTGTGGAGAAGCTCACACAGGGGACAGGGAACCCTGAGACACCACATATTCTGCAGCAACACTAATTCTCAGAGACTTATAGAAATACTGTTTTGTTTTATTAAACCAGGTAAAGCACCAGAGCCCATTTAGCATTTGTAAAAAACAAAGACAAAAAACCCTCCATGCAAGGCTTTAAATTTGTTGAAAATCTCAGTGACTATGAAAGGAATACCTACTACAACAGAAAATATCTCTAGTTTTTCCTTCCCCTCAAATGTTCCCTCTTTTCAGTAGACACACTAATTATATCTTATTTTAAAATCTTATTAGCAGTGTAAGAATTTGTAAATGAGACATTTAATTTGTTCATTGCTTCCACAGTTTCAAACAAAAAGGTGAACATCTGGGATTTTACTGGTAAAATGTCAGGCCAAGAACTGAACTTGTTTTCACTTGCTTTTACATACTACAAAGCACCAGAAAAGTGAGACTGAGTAGACAGAATCAGATTAATAGGAAGACATCAAAGTTGATCTGATGGGCTTGATACATTTTATAAAGATTTTGTAAAACAAATCAAAAGAAAATCTGATTCTTCTTCCTTTTGATATATTTTAGAGGTACTACTTTTAGGACAAAACAATTCAACTAAAAGGGTTTTGAAAAAGTCAAAGGGATGTCAGAGTCTAGATCCCATTTTTCCTTTTAAACTCTCTCCCCTATCAGTATTATTTAGAAAGTAAAAGTAGTAAAGCGATGTAGGGAACAAGTCACACATCTGAAACATAATGAACAAGGCATGCATACCTGAATAATCCCATAAGACATTTCACAACTAATCACACAATAAAATATATTTACAAAAAAATAGGTAAACAGTTTGGAATAGCGTGTATATTCAACAGAATCTGACAAAAATGATTAAAAAACAGGAATAAAAAGCTAAATTCACTAAATACATTATATACCTCAGATTAATTAATTTTAAGACATATGGTACTTTTAGAACCATTGACACTAATCTCCTGTATAAAAAAAGGCCATATAAAAAGCCACAGAATTTCAGCCAAGGGATTCTTGCATCTAGCACAACAATATGTAGCTGAACTAGATCACATATAGCTGAGAAGTGTTGTCACAGCACAAGCTTTTTGCTAATGAGGGCACCTGAGAACTAGAAAAACATTAGAGCTGGATTTGCTGGAAAAGCGAACAATGCTCACAGAGGCCACCTACGGACTAAAACCAGAAGCTTCAGCTGCCCATAAGGGGGAATCTTAACAGGTCACTTCAAACATTTCTCTCTTCTAT